TGAGGCTGAGGCTGAGGATGAGGCGGAGGCAGGCCGAAGCTGAGACAAGGTGAGGCTGAATGTGGGGGGGGGGGAAGGGGGGGGAGGGGGGAGGAGGGGAGGCTGAGGCAGGCTAAGGCCGAGGCAGGCTGAGGCCGAGGCAGGCTGAGGCTGAGGCTGAGGCAAGCCGATGTCGGCTGAGGCTGAGGCTGAGGCTGAGACGGGCTGAGGCTGAGGCAGGCTGAGGCTGCGGCTGAGGCAGGCTGAGGCTGAGGCAGGCTGAGGCTGAGGCTGAGGCAGGCTGAGGCTGAGGCTGAGGCAGGCTGAGGCTGAGGCTGAGGCAAGCCGAGGCAGGCTGAGGCTGAGGCTGAAACCGAGGCAGGCTGAGGCATCCGTAGGAATACATAGGAATCCTCAGGAATCCCTAGGAATCCTTGGGAATCCGTAGGCATCCTTAGGAATCCGTAGGCATAGTTAAGCATCCTCAGGAATCCTTAGGAATCCTTAGGATTCCCTAGGAATCCTTAGGAATCCCCAGGAATCCCTAGGAATCAGGAGTCCTAAGGTTTACTAAGGATTCCTATGGATTCCTAAGGATGCCTAAGGATGCCTTGAACATCCCTAGGAATCCTTAGGATTCCATTGGATCCTGAGGCCGTTGCCACTGTGACTGTCATAGCGAATGCGACTGCGACTGCGAGAACAGCAACAACTGGATTATCACCTGAATCTTAAGGGGAATGCTTCCAGATATGCTTATACACATCGCTGTTAGGTTGCTTTGCCGGGAGAATTCCTCCTGTAGAGGGACACGCCCGACCTACTGCTAAAGTGGAGGCTAGTCCACAAGAAACAAACAGCCAAGACATGCTCCATGGTGTGGGGGCGGCGGGAGGGGAGGGGTGCGGGGGCCCACGACGATCGGCAGAACGAATAACATATCAGCCAACGTTGACTCCAAATAGATGGTGGGGGATGATGGTGATGAGGTTGATGATGATGATGAGGACGACAGGAGTTAGGGGGGAGGCATAGGCACAGGCACGGACATAGCCATAGGGATCAGGGGGGGGCATAGAAATCAGGGGGGTGGCAACGGACCAATTAGTAGGGTTTGAGTTACATCTCCTCTAGGGCAAGCGCATCTGGAGAAAAACTATGAAAGGGAGGCAGGGAAGGAAGGTGGAGAGATGAGGAAGGAGGAGGAGGAGGAGGAGGAGGAGGAGGAGGAGGAGGAGGAAGAAGAAGAAGAAGACTCGGCCTTGCGCGTGGTCTGTGCCGAACCCTGACCGCGCGTGAACCCGTGCAATCAGAGCCCTACCTCGAACGATCATCGAGCGAGAGCGATGAGGTCGTGAGTAGCGCGCGCCGTGCAGCCTGTCGTACGTGCTCGTACCCAGGCAGTCGCAAATCGTGAGACCCCTCGAGGGCTGGGGGGGACACCCCACTGGCCTCCCAGTGCCGAGCCCACGTCGCTGCGGGCGACGGGCAGGCCTCCGAGGCACCCGCCCCGCCCCGAGGAGGGACCCACACTCCAGCAAGCGACGGACGAAAGGGGAACGACGCGGGAGAGAGGGCGACGAGGCGAGAGGGCGAGGCCAAAGCAGGAGAAGAGCAGAGGAAGCAACGGAGGGGAGTGTGGGTCCCCGAATTCTGGAAGATAGCCACTCCGAGGAAGACAGTGAGGAGTGCGCGGGGCCGGGGAGCAACGGTGCGAGGGTCACTAACGGCGCACCGCCGGGCAGTCCCCACTCGCACCGCGCCCCCCGCTCGGCGCGGCCTAGAGGAACGGGGCCTCGGGCATCGAGGTCACGTGGCAGTCGGGTACTCGGTGGTGGTCAGCGCGGGCGTGCACACAAAGCCGCGAATACACCACATAACATCATCAAAGAACGAGAAAGAGCGCGCAGACGCCGAAGTCGGGCGGCGGCATCAGGTACGTGGGTGCGAGGAGGACGTATGGACCAGCCCGTCTGAGTATGTACTGTCAAGTATCTGTAAAAAGTAAGTGTCCATCTGAGCCAACTGTGAGCAGTCAAGTAAGACGAGGGGTTCCGTCTCATAGACTTGAAGCACGAGTCGGCGGGAGTCCACCAACCTCAGATCCTCCGGTACACAAGGAGGAGGAGGAGGAGGAGGAGGAGGAGGAGGAGGAGTGGAGCCCCTGGAGGTCAGCAGGGGTGTTCCTTGGCCGGGCCAGCGGTCGGGCTCCGGGGCGGCCCCGGGGCGCCCACGAGAGAGCGAGGCGCGGCCTCTCGCCGAGGGGCGCCCTCCCACGAGGCCTGCCTCCCTCGCTCCCTCCCTCCCTCCCTCGCTCCCTCGCTCCCTCGCTCCCTCCTCCCTGCCTCCCTGCCTCCCTCCCTCCCTCCCTCGTCCCTCCTCCCTCGTCCCTACTCCCTCCTCCCTCCGCTGGGGAGCCGTCAGAAGCAGACCGTCGGGGCGTTGACCCAAGGATTGGGTCGGGCCTGTCCCCCTGCAGGCGGATCTCGGGCGAGAGGTAAAAAATGGCCCAAAAACAAATCCGAACATAGGCCAAAAATGGTCCAGGAACAATCGTCCCCAGACTGTGTTGTGACGATGTTCGAAGATTCCTTCTGTAGAGGGACGTGCCCGACTCAACCTAAGGAACGAGAAATAAGGAACAGGGCCCCATTTTCCCTTAAGTCGAACTTCCATTTCACATCGAAAGCCGAGGGTAAACCTGAGGCAAGCAGTAACACAATCAAGGATCAAGGGAGCAAGGGAGGAAGCCAAAAACTGAAAGGACCTGTATTCCCGCTACAATGACAATCAAAAAGCACCGAGCCCCTCCCCAACGCAGAGCTTGAGCAGGGACCCACCGTTCCGGCATTCCCATAGGCCTACCACGAAGCATTCCCAAACATGTTCGAAACACCAAAACAATGTTCTTAGAGCATAAACTCGATGTGATAAAACAAGACCGTCCCAGCCAGAAATGTTCTAAGAACTCGTTGTGGAAACCACACCAGGTTCTGAGAACATTGCTTGGTAGGCCTATCTAGGCGAGCCAGGACGCTTCGCCACTGCTTGAAGAGGGCTCCTTCTCCGGCGCCCCCCTGCTGCACTCCCGAGGGCATCGGGAAGCTTCGAACCTCGATCCTCCGAACCTCGGGGCCCGCTTGCTCCGTGGCGGCGAGCCTGCGCCACGCCAGGCGCCCGCGCCTCTCTCGGCCACGCGCGGGCGCGTCCCCCGGGCAAGGGTGACCTCTGCCGCGCGGGCCAGCGGGGGGGGCAGAGCCCGGGCGCGCCAGCGGGTGCTGAAGGGACACCGTGGGCCCGCACCAAAGGTCACTCTGGCGAGGGGCCACTCGTGCTCGAGCAGGGACCGACGGTCCCGGCAGTCGTGTAGGCCTTAGCACGACACGTTCTGAAAACCCCAAGAGTGTTCTGAGAGCAAAAGCAAGGCTCTTAGAACAGAAGCCAGACGCGCTCAAACAAGACCGCCTCGGCCAGAACTGCTCCTATAGAACACTCCGTGCAAACCACGAAAGGGTTCTTGGAACATTCTCCGGTGGGCCCATCTCGGGCGTTGCTAGAAGTACCCCCGGCCCAAGGTGCCCCCAGCTTTTCGCTCCACTCTGGGGCCCCTGGGGCCCTCTGGGCCCTGCGAGGGGTGCCCTGGAGGCCGCCTGGGCCACCCCGATAATCCTGGGGGTACCTTGGGCCAGGGACACTTCCAGCAACACCCGACTACAGTAGAGAAACGAAGAATGACATAAACATAAAAACTCGGAGATCCGCGCGGACCTCCGAGTTATTATGCTTACGTCATCCTTCGTTCCCCGATATAGGCAAGCCAAGACGCGTCGCCCTCTGCTTGCAGCACGCCGCAGCCGAGCCTCCGGGCGGACGCCCCCGAGCGGGCCGCCCCCGCCGGGCGCGGCGGCCCCCGCGCGCGCCGGCGCCGGGGCGACGAAGCAGGGCGCGAGCAGGCACGCGAGGAGCGCCAGCAGGGCCGCGGCGGGGAGGGCGCTGCGGGCACGCAGGGCCATGGCGGGGGCAGCTTCGGGGGGGGGGGCCCGTCGGGAGCGGCCACGGAGGGGGGTGCCCAAGGGGTGGGGGTGCAAGTCATGACCGGCGGCATGTGCGCGGCCCAGGGGGCCAGGGTCGTAGTGAAATGAAGAAGAAGCGCCACGAGATCTGGGGGAATAGCATGGCCCCCGCCATGCTATCCACCCCCCCCTAGTCATCACCCCCCTCTTTGCCGCCCCCGAGCCTGTGGCGCCAGCGAGGGATCTGGTCGACCCAGAAGGGGGTCCAGCGAAAAGGGGGCGGCGCCATAGACAGTCAAAATTTCTGTTAGGGGATCTTCCGGTAAGGAGTTGAGGTCCCGCTTCGCTGACTTTCTTAGCCCTCTTGCGAGAGCCAGCTTTGAAGCGTGCAATTTCTTAGCGCAGCGCGGCGCCCGTGTTGGTGGTTTTGATAAAGATTGCGCCGGTGATGAGGTTTGGAGCACTTGTGTTGCAAACGTGTTGCGCAAGAGAAAGCTTTATTGCATCGTATTGAACTGACGTGCTGCCTGCGAAAGCCCAGCGATGCGTTTCTGCGCACCCGGGTGTACTGCACGCCCCAAAGCTGTTGCAACCCCACAAATCTAGTGCACCAAATCTATTGCACAGCCCCCTTGTCGCTGGACCCCCTTTTGGGTCAGCCAGAGAGGGAAGGGAGCCCCCGCGACGCAGGGGCCATGTCCGTCCCAGATCTCCAGCGGTCTGATTTGTTTTATCTTGGCGTCTTGCCCCGCTGTCGGTCATCTATGGGGCCCCTCTATCGGGCCCCGAGACCGTCAACGCTTGATCTGGGGCGAAAAGCTTCCTTTGGGAAAGTGGTCGGGACCTCTCGGGCTGCGCATTGAAAAAAATCGTCGGATGTCTGGGGAAGCCCGGGGAAGCCCCCGCGACGCAGGGACAATATCGGTCTTGGGCAACGACGGCGCTTGAGCCAGAGTGTCCACGGAGGGCATGAGGGCGCTGATGATGATGGTGCTGACATTGTGGTGATGTTGAGGTCAGTTGCAACGAAGATCACGATGGCAACGAAGATGACGAAGGCAAAGGCGACGATGATGATTGGTGGTTGATTGGCTGATTGGTTGATCGGTTGATCGACTGATAGTGAAGATGACCATCGTCATCGTCAGACCAGGCAAGCCACCTGAGCGCCTTTGGCGCCTGTGCTGTAGGAAAATATAACAGGGCGGTTCAGCATTGCTGAGCAAAGACGTTAATTTCGACCGAGACTGATCCGCCACAGTGCTATCGGCACGCTGGGGCGTGACAACAAGCCTCTTAGATGTCTGAGAGGACTTCTGTAATTAGAAACCTAGGGGCACATTCACCCAAGCAATTTCCCTCTCCAAGACGAGCCAAGCCCCGAAAACGCCTCAAGGCAGCCTCGAGACCCCACCACACGGCTTCCTTACCCTGTCTTCAACATATAAAAAAACGCACACGATACCGAAACGGCTGGAGAATCCCCTGAGATGGCCAGACACCGCCCCAAGATGGCTCCGGAAGGGCCCGAACACTCGCCCAAATATGGTTTGACCAGACCTCCCCAGGAGAGCTCGATAGAGCCATCGCGCCCAAGACGGCCCCGACGAGACCTAACGGGTCCTCCTGCGGGTCCCAGGAGCCCGATATAGGCTTGCCAAAAGACCCGCAGGAACTCTCAAAATGCCCCAGACAACCCCCGGAACTAAGACGCAGCAGCCATGCAACGTCATCGCGTCGCCAAGCTGGAGCATCATCGAGCCGCTTCCCGTGCGGCCTCCAAAACTATTCTGCCCGGACTGCCCGGATACCTCAGGAGGGGGAGGAATGAAGGGGCAGCGGGAGGAGGGGTGAACGCGGGGCGCTGTCTCCTCAAAATGAGGACCCAACAGCGCAGGACGGTTGGGAACTATTCTAGCCAGACTGTTCGAATTCCTCGGTAGGACCACCCTGTGTGCACTTCGATGTGCCGCTGGCTCGTCGGCGGGGCTTGCCGCAGGCAGCTGGGTGCCATCAGTATGAGGTACCAGTACTCTGGTGTCCTCTAAAAGCAAAATATATGCATCCAATTGATGTGGCACTTGAGTCAGCGACGGGATCCCCCGATATCAATTCTTTTCAGCGTGTCCATGTAGTGGCGGATGTCATCAGTGTAGCGGCGGATCTCTTCGTCGGTGAGGTAAAATGCATCGCGGTCGTTAACCAGGCTTGCGAACTGGCAGCGGTTGCAACCAAGACTACGCTCCTTGTGGAAGTGAGTGAGTGCAAACTTCGAGTACTCCTTCTTCCACTCCTCGTTAGATCCAGTGAAGCCGTCGAGTTTTGCAAGCACCATCAGCTCGCTCCTGTTCAGGTGATGATTGCCGTCGGCGTCCAGCACCTGAAACAGCTCGTTGACCATCGCGCTGCGCCGCGGCGTGTGCGCGCCAGCTCCCCGGGACAAGATCGTTGCGCCCGTAGGGTGGCGATGCTCCAGTGGTTGAACCAATACCTTGAGGGCAACGTCAGGGGGGATAGGGTCAGGGGAGAGACATCGACCTTCAATCGGTTATATTTGTCGGCGATATGCCCCCGACAACGAAACCGCACGTTCCTGGGCTGGTTGGCCTGTCGGGCCCCTATCGGCGATCAATCGGCGATTGGGGTTGATGGGCCCCCCCCCTGAGCCTATCCCTCCTAGCGTTGCTCCTGAATACCATGGTGTCACCGCCCTGTAGGTCGTGAATGATGCCAAACTCGTCGCCGTCGCCGCTCGATATCAACACCTTGTCGCCCACGCAGAAGCCGCCGGTGCTCGCGGTTCGGAGCACGGCTTGCCCTGCCGTGGCCGGAAGTGTGGTCCGCGTCTTCACCCCCCTAGGATCCACGTGTTCCTCGTCGGTCTGCCGATCGGCCCCGCGAAACCAGCGGAAGAAGAGGCCGCACGCGCAGCACGTGACAACGGCGAACAGAGCTACCGTCGATGCCCGCGACAAGTAGGCTCTCGGACGGCTGAGACCTGACTGACCCGGCGACACGCGTGCTGCAGAAGACGTCGACGTCTCTTGCGCGTCCGAGCTGGCTGACAGCGGGACGATGCCCGCGTCGCTGTCTGACGTGGGATGAGGAGTCGGCGGGGCTGTGGGAGCGGGCGTTGGGCTTGCCGGAGGTGCCGCGGGAACGCGCTCGGGCAGCGCTGGGTTTGCCGGCGGGTCCACGTGGGAAGCGGACCTGGGCGCGGGCAACGTTGAAGTTGTCCGCGGTGCCACGGGAGCGGACGTAGGCGTGGGAAGTGGTGGGTTTGTCCGAGGGGCCGCGGGAGCGGCCGTAGGTGTATGACTCTCTGGGTTCGCCGGCGGGGCCACGGGCGCGGGCGCGGGCGGCGCTGGGGTTGCTTGCGGGGCCGCGGGAGCGGGCTGTGGCAAGGCTGGGTTCGCCAGCGGGGCCACGGGCGCGGGCGCGGGCGGCGCTGGGGTTGCCTGCGGGGCCCCGGGAGCGGGCTTTGGCAAGGCTGGGTTCGCCAGCGGGGCCACGGGCGCGGGCGCGGGCGGCGCTGGGGTTGCCTGCGGGGCCGCGGGAGCGGGCTTTGGCAAGGCTGGGTTTGCTGGCGGGGCAGTGGGAGCGGACGCAGGTGGGGCTAAAGCTGTGTTTGCTGGGGTGGGCGTGGCGGCCCGCACAATCATGAAGCTGTATGCGGGAAATGCACTTTTGATGGGGTCTCTGAGCACTACCTGACTGCCCTCGATGAACGCCACGACGCCTTCCGCACTGGCTCCTCCACTATCGTGTGCCGTGTTCACCATGACGACCTTGTCGCCCGCATGGAAGAGCTGAGGTTTCTGCACTTCCACCATGGTGCTCCCCCGGGTCACTGCCGACATTGTGAGGCTCCCCTTGTCACTGGACGTGTGCAATGACTCCAGCAAGTTCTCCCAGGCGTCGCCCTGCAGGGATCAAGTAATCCCACCAGCCCTCTGGGCGTAGGTGGTTTAGAGAGTTTCTTCTTCCACCCCTCCGTCTTCCCTTTCGGGGAGGGGTTTACCCCTCCGGCTAACCCCCTCCCCTGGACCTGGACGGGGCGTTTCGCGAGCGGTCAGAGGGTACTTTTTCGCCCAAGATGGCTCCAAGAGCGCTTCGGAAAGCCTAAGATTACCTCCCAGATTGATCAAGATAGCCTACGATACCTCAAGATGGCTCCGCAGATGCTCCAAGAGGCTCCCAAGACCATCCCAAAACGGCTTTCCAAGGACTCCAAGAGGCAACAATCCTTTGAACACCTAAGGGAAACCAATGATGTTTGCTTTCTCGCCGTTTCGCTGCCGATGGCCATCCGAGGCCTCAAGATGGCTCCAAAATGGCTCAAGAAAGCCCCAAGAGGGGCCCAAGAGAGCCCCAAGACGGCCCCAAGAGCGCCCAAGAGCGCTCCAAGAGCGCTCCAAGAGTGGTCCAAGAGGCGATTTTAGAGGCTCCCGAGGGGCGGTGCTAATTAACCCCCCCTCCCTTTTTTGATCGATCTCCTCCAAGATGGCCCCAAGAGCGCCCCCAAGGCTCTCAAGAGCGCCTCATGAGGGCCCCAAGAGGCGCCCAGGAGGCCCCAAGAGACGCCCAAAAAGCTTCCATGAAGCTCCCAAGAGACGCCTAAACGGCCCCCGGGGCCGCCAAGAGGCCCACGCGATGCCTCGCGAGGCCTCCAACAAGCTCCCAAGGTACATCCGAAGAGACTCCGACAAGCATTCAAGAAGCCTCTGGCCATCCTGCTCTCACTTTTCCTCCTCCTCCTCCTCCATCTCCTCCTCCTCCTCCTCCTCCTCCTCCTCCTCCTCCTCATCATCATCATCATCATCCGCCTATTCCTCCTCCTCCCTCCCTCCTTCCGCTCCCCCTCCTCTCAAGCACATGTGGCTCCGTCCATTCCGTAGGCCCCCTTTTGGCTTATTGCTTTGACATGAGTCGCACCTCGATGCCTCAACGTGGCGCTGGAGTGGCAACGCGTCTCCTGGGCCGCGTGCGCAGTCGATCGCGTTGGCTAAATCGAGGTAAACAGTTTCAGTAAAAGGATTCAGCGTTTATGGCTTGTACTTTGCTAGTGTTGCTCTTGCCTCATGTTGTTGGTACGCATCCTGAGCGCATCGGATCTTGCCATCCTCATCTGCAGTACTGGACTCGGCGCATACGGTGTGCAGAGTTGGGGTGCCCTGGCGATGGTGTACAGAATGTGGGAGCCGAAGGTTGTGCCGACCGTCATCAGCTACAACGCTATCTCCAGCACGTGCGAGAAGGGCAATCAGAGGCAGCGGATTCCCGCTGCAGAGCCAGATGGGTAGGCGCGAGGCCGACTGCATCAGCTACAATGCTCGGATCAGCGCGTGCGAGAAGAACGTCTGGTGGCAGCAGGCAGGCAGGTGGGAGCAAGTCGCGGCCCGTCGGCACATTATCATTTTCAGTGTTGTCATGGGCCAGCGGTAGCAAAGGACAGTGGCTGCAGCATTTCAATTCGTATTTCAATATTTTAGCTGTCACTGCATGGCGATTCCCTGGTTCGTGGGATGGGGACGTGCCGACCGTCCGTATTCTGAGCCGTGCCTTTGGTGCTGGCATTGGTATTCAGCCTTTCACTGTCTGCTTGGATGGGGACGTGCCGGCCGTCCGTACTCTGAGCCGTGCATCAATGGATGGCTGTTTTAATGGATTGGGTTATACGTGCTATGCTACAACACTGCGGTCAAGTGTGCTTGGCCAATTGGTTCACAGTTGTTCCCGCTCATCGTGCAGAGTGTCTCGGTAGGCAAGCAGGTCTGGGGCTCCAGATGTTGGTGGCTCTTCTTCTGATCGACTGGGGCGAGGCGGTCTGTGGGCGAGGCGAGCTCCTCCCTTGTGGGGAGTTAGCCCAGTGATCGACAGTGGTGCTTCGGCGGCACGGCTAGGGCCTCATAGAGTCAAACTCACTTCAGCTTAGCCATTGGTCATATCAGTGCGGAGTCATTTCAACGGTTCGGTCTCAGGTCTTTTTCAATTGGCGCCTTCTTGGTGGATGGGAGAAGGAATGAACTCATTTGTGTTGTCACGCGTCGTGAATTGATTTTCTGCGCAATCGGCTGCTCTCAATGGGGAGGGATTCATCCGAGGTATCATCCGTGCTCCTCGGGCTTCTTCGTCATACGTAGTTGGTGCTGGTTCCTGTTCTACGCCCGCTCGTTCGTCTGCTTCAATTTCGAGCTCAGAGGGGAGTAGCCCGATTCAACCCGAGCAAAGGCTCAGGTGGTGGTCGGGTGCCGTTCACCTCGCTTCGCGATCGGTCCTATCCTATCCTATCCTATCCTATCCTATCCGCTCCCCCTCCTCCTCCTTCAGTTTCTCCTCATCCTCCTCCGATTCCTCCTCCATCCTCGCCGTCTTGGATAAGACAGGTTCCCCTGCCCTTGTTTACTCTGTGCTCCCTCACTTCCCTGATCACCTCCATTCGCCTGGGCATTCGCTGGTCGAGAACCAGCAGCAGAAGCAGTACCAGCAGGAGCAAGAGCACCAGCAGCAACACATGCAACCTTCACCACAAAAGATCTCCCAATTCACCGTTGTCGCCCGCTCGGTTTCACCATGTGATTCTCTCCTTCCCTTCTTCCGTCAGCTCCCCATACGCATCGTTTGTGGATGGGCTGGTGGGGATACGCGTAGCGTCTAGAATTCTTGTGAACCACAATATTAACCAAGCTCGAACCTGTGAAAACCTTTACACTGGCCGTTACTGCCCGTCGAATTTCCCGCCCTCGGAAATGTGGAAAAACCAGTGGGGCACCTCCGTTGGCATGAATGAAACGGGTCCTGAGGGGAAAAAGTCCCGGACCCCAGCGCATTCCCCCAGGACCCATCCGAGGAGGAGGAGGAAGACGAGGAGGAGGAGGGGGAGGAGGAGGAGGAGGAGGAGGAGGAGGAGGAGGAGCTGGAGGAGGAGGAGGAGCAGGAGGAGGAGGAGCAGAAGGAGGAGGAGGAGGACTGAGTCGTTTGTTGACGGTCCCAGGGCCCGTGGAGGGCCCCAGGGCTCCGAAAACGCCGTCCTCCAGGACCTGCTTCCCTCGGGGCCGGTTTGCCTCATGGCGACTCCTGGGGCATGAAGAACCGGCCGCAAGGCTGTGATATTCCTTAGCGGGCTGCCGCGTTGCAGGTGCCTTCTCTCCTGTCTGGTCCTGTCTCCCCTCGTGTCTTCTAGGGAGCCCACGGCGCCAAAGTGGCTACGTCGAGGCGGATGCTTAAGGTGTTTAAGGTTGGTTGCTTGCTTGCTTAAGGCCGTCCCAGGATTGCCCGAAGGAGCGCCACTGGATGGTGGCCTAGAAACCCTTGAGTGGCATCGAAAGAACTGCCCCAAGACGAAGCCACAAAGAGGATCACATCGGGTCAGGATAAATCGAGAATCGTTGATATTCAACGGCTCTGGAGGATGTCTCGGGCGCCGCGGCCTTTTCAGAGCGTTCCGCCACGCTTCGAGAGCTTTCCAGAACGCTCTGGAGCGGAATTATCCTCGTCCTCGTCCTCTTCCTCGTGGGTCGCAGTCGAGAGTCCACCAGATCATGAGATCTGGCACGTTTCGGAGGACTCGGAGTTCGGTGGATTTGGAAGGGGGACCGCAGCTCATCCCCTTTACCTTTTCGGCGACGGCGACGCCAGCGGAGGCAAGGAGACGCACCATCCCTGCCTTCGCCGCGTAGGCCTCGGTATCGCCCTTTTCCGCACCCTCGACGACGATATGGATATATCGCTCGGCGTTTGGGCTGCACTTCCAGGGAGTAGGCAGACAGTAGCACGTGGTGAACTGTATAGTTTGTGGGTGTGCGTTCGCGACAGTGAGGGGCACATCATACACACCACTGACGATTCGACCGTGTGCTCGGGCTGGTATGAGTCTCGTTGGCTCTCCCCGACTGGCCCCGATGCTGACCTGTGGTGGCGAGTAGGACAGGAGATTGCACGCAAGACAGATTTGCATTGCACTGTTCTGTTTATGAATTTCCATTTAGGAGCTGAGCGCACGATCGGAGCACATTCGCCCAAGCTTATCATCGTAGGCAATACCGTAGCAGATGAGTTCGCCACCGCTGGAGCTGAGGTTGCACGCTTGTCTGCGAGCACGCGCACGAGGGTACATAGAGCTGAGAGCATGGCTTGTGCTGTTCGTATGCGCACTTTACAGAGCACACTAGAAGCTATACGTGCGGAAGAACTTCTGTTGCAAGCCGAGGGTCTTGGGACTCGGCGTAGGCAGCGTAGGTTCAACCTGGTCGTTTGACCCCCGCAGCAAGTGTTTGTGCAATGTTCGCCTCGTCGCACCACCTGGGTGAGAACGGCCGCTGTTGCACACGATGTCAGGGGTCGACCGCACTCGCATGTAAGAGCGAGTGGCTGAACCCACCGTGTTTCGACCAAATTAGTGTGGACGGTGTACTTAGCAAGCCCCCCTCCTGGGCAAAAGGGTGCACATCATGGGGGGTACGCGGACGGGTCTCACACTCTTCGGTTTCACACAGGGCTGAGGGTGTGGCTTTGTTTTGTGTTCGGGGGTTCTGCAGCTGAAAGGTTAGCACAGCTCGGCAAGGAATGCAGCACACGCCTCGACGGTAATCGGATCGATTATCGGAAGCGTATTATCCAGGGTCTGTGGCCTAAGGTCTACAGCAAGCGAGAGCAGGCCAGAAGAGGAGGAGGAGGAGGAGGAGGAGGAGGAGGGGGAGGAAGGGGAGAATGTTGTGGAGGAGGAGGCAAAGGAGGAGGAGGAGGAGGAGGAGGCGGAGGAGGAGAGGGAGGAGGAGGAGGAGGAGGAATACGAGAGGAGGAGGAGGAGGAAGATGAGGAGGAGGAAGGGGGGGGGAGAGGAAAAGGAGGAGGAAGAGGATGAGGAGGAGGAACAGGAAAAGGACGAGTGAGGAGGTTTGATCCTCGTCCTAGCCCCAGGAGG